ACCATACAGACATAGTGCCTTAGAGGACTTACATTTGGATGATGCCCAATATTCTTCTGTGGTTACTTTACATACATCTATATCAGTATAGCTCTGAAGGATAATGTTTTGAGGCACATATATTTGTTCATACAAAATAGTGGAACTGCAAGGTTCTGGAACGGACCATCTCTTGCAGCCTTTCTCGGACTGGTGCCTTCCAGTTCCATTGGGCAAGGAGTACAGATCTCATCATCACCCAGTTAGCATGGGCCAACACATCTGTAGGCCAACAGGTTGGGGCAAGCTAGCCAAAGCTGCTGTCGTCTTTTCAGTACTTTTAGTAGAGTTAATAAGTTCCTCCTTGGTAAATCTGCTGTCGGTATTGTGTTGTGTGTTACTGTCATCCATACATCCTTATAACAATAGTCCACCTTTGCAGCAGGCACTATGATGCAAGCCTCCAAATAAAATATCAGACTTGATTCACTCCTGCATACTGCATGTCAGCATGCACTTAGTTCTATACTCCATCCCCACACAGTGGAGAGGGCTGGAGGTAGACTTTCTGGAGACTCTTTTGGGGTTTTAAAAAATTGGTTTTACAAATTCTGGGAGTAGATGTATACTACCATACTAAAGAGTGGGTGTGCAAGTCAATCTGTGTGCAAAATAAAACATCTAAAGCAAGGATGTGCAGCTGTGGCCCTGGATTACAACTCCAAGAATCCTACCCTCAGCACCGATTATGCTGACTAGGGCTGATGCCAGCTGTAGTCCAAAGATATCTGGAGGGTCATGGTTGCCCATCCATACTCTAATTGTGAACAAAAATTTAAAGGAAGAAAATGACATAAAATAATGAGACATTTAGGTCTTGAAAAAATGCCATCGGGAGGGAAAGGGGAAACATTTTCTGGGCTAAAGTGATGTCACAGGTATCATCCAAGAAGGACCCAAGATGCTAATGCAAGCATGTTCTGTACAACACCTATGCAACAGCTGCAGGTGTTGTGAGCAAAAGTAAGTGCATCTCCTATAATATCTGCTGACTAAACCCCACAGTTTTTGAATCACCTAATTCATTCATTCATTCATTCATTCATTCATTCATTCATTCATTCATTCATTCATTCATTCATTCATTCATTCATTCAATGTTTTCCCAAGGTTCACATGCATATTTTGTATACAGTCGCACTGCATTTGTTTCACAGTCTTAAAACATTTTGTCACAATTCAAAATGAAACAGAAATGAACAGGAAAATATACACAGGTCAAAAGTCTACATGGGTCTTTGTGGCGCAAAATAGTGACTCTGCATGAATTTACTTTGGCACAAAAGAGTTAAAATATTTTCAGAATACAGGTCTCTCACAATAATACAAATATTAATTGCTGTGGCACTGAAAACATGAAAAAGCATGCCCTGGATGAACTTGTAGTAGATTTGACCAACACATGACATGTGGCTTTATTAAAATCTGAAGTGCTCTAAAGTTGATGGAAACACATGCTCTCACCTGGATTTAGTTATTAATGAAATTCAGCTGCTACACTGGAGAAAAAAAGGATCTTATGCCTCTGAAGCAGTGCACTGCTTTTTTGAGTGCTGCTTGCAAGCACATTACAGGATTTTGTTGCATTTTGCTCAGAGCCTGGGAAAGTTACTTTATTGGATGACACATCCCACCACTTCCAGGCCAACATGGTCAGTGGATTTTCCAAGCTATGGTTTTACAGTATTTATGATGTGATTAGTGACTGATACCATACTTTCTCCCTGCATACAAACAACATTCTGTAAACATCCAAGATGTTTATTATTATTATTATTGGTCATCTTCTTTAAAAGCTGTATACTCCCCGCCACACACATATTGTGCAACTGCATCACGTTTGGTCATCCAGCCATATGTTGTTGTTTTAAGGCAAATCTCAGAAATCTCTACCATTTTATGAGCACTTTGCTTACTTGTTTTTTTTTAATTGGACTTTCCTTCCTACAGTACTTGTCCTTCCTGCATCAAGCCATCCTCTCTCCTTGTCTCTGCTAAGTACAGACAGACCACTACCTGCCTCTTTGCAACTAGTGAACAAAAGGAATTACAATAATATCATATAACAGTTAAGAGACCATGTAGAGGAGGTCCTATAAAGCTACAGATCATAGAATCCTAGGTCAGCTGAAGGCACTGATTTGACTAACAGGAATATGTAGTTTGATAGCTCTTTGGTGGATTATTCCTAATTCAAAGAAGATTTGTTTCAAGGAAGACAAAGCTGTTGCTTGAAATGTCCCCTCCTTCTCAGGTTTTCTTCAGTTATTTAATATAGAAAGCCGATTTCCATCACGTTAGACAACTGGTCCATCTAGCCCAGTGTTTTGTGCTCTGTGAGTGGCTCTCTAATTTCTTAGGCAGAGGTTCCTCCCTGTTGCCTGGTTCCTTTAGCTGGAGATACTGGGGATCAAAATGGGAACCTTTTGTATGCAAAGGTGGCTGAGCTACTGTATGGCCTTTCCTTTTGAATCCATTGGCTGTAACAGGCAGGATCCAGATTTCAAATAATAAAGGAGAAAAATCTCTCCTTTCTTCACAGACCAAGGAGCCCATGGGGACAGATTCTAGATAGTTTTGACAAGCCTTTAAGGCAGAATGCAAACCTGCTGCAAGCTCAAAAGGACTAAGAAGCTTAATATAAAATCCAAACAAGATCACCTGATACTTCCCAGCAGGTAATAACTACATCCCTCCATCCTCATTTGACCAGCTCTCTTCAATTATTCTTTTGAGAAGCAATAGCATCTTATCATTCAGCAACTTAAGCAAAAACTTTGGATTCAAGCAAGTCCAGGTGGAATTGCCCAGCCAAACCACTTAGTAGCAGGCAAGATCTAGTAACATTTCACAGGCTTGATGACACTAAGTGCTGCAACTCAAAACGCACCACAGTCTACTCTTAAGTCATTGAATAATTACATTCAGGTACTGAGCAGATTGGTCATGTGAAAGACAACAGTCCAAATCATAATAGCAAGGTAAAGCAAACACCACTCAAACTGGAGCAGGACTGACAAGAAGACGGTCCTTGCATCTTCTAAAATTCCTGAGCTGCCAAAGAGACTAAACTGTGAACAAGATAATTTGACCACAGTTTCTAGGGTGGAACTGCAAAGTACCACCAGTTCCTAAGTGACTGGGATGATTTTAAAGCCCTGATCAAAATGTCCTGAGAAACTAAAGGACTGACAAAAAGTCATTCTCAAATCCACCCAAGACTACATGGAAACAGCAGGGGGAGGGGGAAACATTTTGTGACCTTATCAGTTCTAGGCAACAGCAAACAGGCAAACACTAAAAAACAAGGCTCTGAAGTAAAATTAAGATGGGGTGTATACTTCTAGAACCAGCATCATTTCTCTCTTTCAAACAAAGTTGGGCAATACTTTCATTTTTGCCTGGAGAGAGTCAAGGCTAAGATATGCAAGGATGGTGATGAAGTGCTAAATATTTTTGGTATTTCCCTCCATAGGTACTTGGGCATATCACCAACTGAAGAGTAAACAATGAGTTGTAGCATTCTGCAGAAAAAGTTGCCCCTGCCTTGCTGTTCCTCTGGCAATAAAAGCCCTTCTTTTCAGGCAGGATTTTAGTAAGTAACTGGTTGCCAAGAAAAGGTTTTTTAATGTGGGATGATATACCTTTTACTGTTTTTAATGTGCTTTCAAATTGTTTTGGATTGTTTTTATTCCATAGTTTTTAATATGCAATGACCACTATCCTATTTGGAGTGTAAAGCTCATTGTATAAGCAGTTTCCCATTCTGACAGGCCCTCTGTTGGACAACTTACCAAACATCTGGTGGCATGCCCAATTTCACAAGGAGTGAAAGACCAGCTATGCAAAGGAGAGCGTGCCAGAGCAGGAAGAAAACGTAAATGAGTGCCCTTCTGTGACTGCATAATACAATAAGATACTGGCCAATAAGTTTAACTGTGTTGTAATATTGTAATTATTGTATTTTAAAACATACTACAATTTTTCTCTTTACATGCCATAAGCCAACTTGGGCTCCTTAAGTGGGGTATAAATACAATGCATGAATGCTTTGCAAATGGTATTGAAAACAACAGCTTTGCACATGTGTAGAAGGTGAAACTGCCCAGAGGGGTCTAGTGGCTTAGGCACCCGAACCAGAGGTTGGGAGATCCATTCCCCCCGTGCCTCCTTGACAGGGGCTGGACTCGGTGATCCATAGGGTCCCTTCCAGCTCTGCAGTTTCAAGTAACGTGACCAAATGAAAGAGGACAGGGTTCCTGTCCCTTTAATGGTCTTTCAGAAGATGAGATTTATTTATTTATTTAAAATATTTTTACCCCACCTTAAAATGACCTATGGCAGCTTTTAATAGAAGCTACACCTGCAGAAATGGCCTACTCCATATTACAGTGGTGCCTCGCTTAGCGATTGCCTTGTTTAACGATTTATTCGCTTAGCGATGAGGTTTTTGGAGAGATATTGCACTCTGTTTAGCGATGTTTCCAATGAGGAAATTTCGCATAGCGATGTTCAGGACCTTGCCTCGCTTAGCGATGATAATTTAGGACCCCCTGTTTCGCTTAGTTTTCGCTATTTTAAGTGTGTCTTAAAATGTTCAAAAACTGTTTTAAATGCTTGGAATCGTTAGTGCACCTTGTAAAACCTTTGCAAACTTAATTTGGCTTTGTTCTGACTCTTCGTTAATTTTTGGTGAATTCCCCCCCCCATTGGAATGCACTGAACTGTAGGTTTGACAGCTAGCGAAAATAGCGAAAACAGACCTGTCAAAACCATTGAAATGCATTGAAACCTATTCAATGCATTCCAATGGGGGAATTGCGTTTCACTTAGCAATGTTTCCTATGGCGATTTTCGCTTAAGGACGGTAATCCGTTCCCATTGGAACGGATTATCCAGTTTTCAATGCATTCCTGTGGGAAATGGTGTTTCGCTTAGCAATGTTTTCCCATAGCGATGTGTTTTTTTTTGAACCAATTAACATCACTAAGCGAGGCACCACTGTACTATTAAAGATACACGGATACATGAATTCAGTATTCATTTTTTGTGTGGTCACCCTGACAGAGGGGCAACATCACACAGATCCTGAAGTATGGACATTTGGCATTATGCAGTGTACTATTTAATTGTCTTTAGAATCACACTAGAGATTGCACAGGTTTAGCTGAATAAATTTAACTGAACTGGTTCAAAAAAAAGGGTTTCATGGATCTCCTTTCAAAAATAAGGAGGACTTCAGCAAGAGGAAAGTTATGTGTAAGAATCTAAGAAATATGTATTTCTTCACATTAAGGCTGCAGTTATAGCACCTAGCATAAATCTTCAGGGTAGCAATGTTAGTCTGTTACAGGAAGAACAACGGAGATTCCTATGGCATCCTAAGGACTGGTAAGTTTTGTCTGACATACACATACAACTGAGCTGCAGTGCACAAAAAGCTTATGCCAAACAAAGCTCTTAAGTGACAAGACTTAGGCTGTTGTTTTACCTAGCAGGGCCATAGAATCAGCTTTCAAAAAAAAATATGGCTCAAAGCTAGATTGATGGACTATGTAATTAGTACTTTATGGAGCAACTTCACGTGGACATGACTGCAGTCCTGCGCAGATACAGGCACATGTCAGGGAGAAGCAAATTTGCAACTGGAGATACTCTTCAACAATCGTGGTTTCAAATGGAAAAACAACCTGTAGCTTCTCTTGGGTAAACAGCTGCAGTAAAAACTTTTGAAAGCCTCGAGGTATGTACATACCTTTCCTTCTCTTTGTACCTGTTGCCATTTAGGTATGTAGCCAAAATAATAAAAATAAAGAGAAGAACCCAAAATTATACCTCAACAGACTGAGCTTTAGAGGATTCAGACTAGAGATCTATATCAAGATCAAATGAAGTGTGAATTCTGAAAACTGCAAAAACTTGTTAAGGCTGCTATGTCCCATTTGGGGTTCCATCTTTAGGCAGGTTTCCATACGTGTTATTGCACTGTCCGTCCATCTCTCGAAATGACTGATACAAAATCACTGTTCATGGTTTGGCAGTAGCACCACACTCTCCTTCTATCAGTGTGCACTGGATATCCCTGCCCCATAAGAAGCCCCCAAACTGGAAGCACATCTGAAGCAGGCCATTAATCTCATCAGCATGGCAGCAACAATTTAAAAAAAATAAGAGACCACAGTGAGGCTTAAGGAATGCACTTGTCTGCTGGAACAGGTTAGTGCCAAAGCCTTAGTTAAAGCTGCTTTTCAAAAGGGCAAGCTGCTGCCTGGCCATTGACATTATAATTGCATTGTTGCAACAACAACAAAATGCTGAAAGTGACTATGTGGAGCATGTGGTACAAAGGCACAGGGCTCTTGAAATATACCTGCAGGAATCAGAAAGGCTGAAAGAGAGTTACAAGACCACAATTATCAAACCAAATGGCTGATGAGGCAAGATTACTCCATTTTTGGCAAATCAGGGCAGAATCAAGTTGGAGGTGGTAGGTGGGTAACATTCCAAGAGCTGGGCATTCCCCACCCTCATACAAACAGTTTCCGGTTCAGGATGCACTTCTATTAGGTTTTGCATGCCCTTGAATAAGTTTGCAGGGATAAGGCAGAGAGACAAATCTTCACAAAACAAACAATATTTAACTCCTAGTCTTTTCTCCTTTGTAGGCTTTGAATCACAGCATGTCTGTGTCCTCCATGCTGAAACTGCTTCGGCGACTACTGGTCTTTGAAGCTTCCGGGGACACAGCAGAGAACAATGGATCAGAAGCCACAGGCAACATGCTATCTTCCATGAGCATCAAGTCCAACTCCTTTTTGGACAAAGCAGGAAAAGAGACATTTTGGCTGGGGTCTAGAGTGTCATGGAAGCCTGTAGAGTTGTCATCAAAGCTCAGACTGTGAGTGAAGTCCAGCTGGTGATAAGGGGACTGTGGAGGAGCGAAGTGAGGCTGGTGCTGAGTCTCCTGCTCACCATGAAGTGGTTGCAGAGCTGGAAGTGGCTGCTGCTGCTGCTGCTGCTGCATCTCTGTTGTCCCCTCCTCCCCAGAGGGTTCTTGCTTCACCACCTGTTGTGCTATTTCAGCCATGTTCAGGCCAGAGGGTGAAGTGGTCGGCAATCCATGGAGTCGAGCTTGCATCTCTAGCTCCTTTAGGACAAGGCACACAATGGAAGAATTCTTATACAAAGAATAGAAACATGTGGATGCTAGTCTCACTATGGACAGACAAGCAAGTAAGCACTAAACAACAGGGACCCAACCTCCAAAACACATGCATGTCAGCCTCTTAGTCTGGATTATTTCAACACACAACTAACATAAGAATGCCTTTGAAGATGTCTGAGAAATTTGACTGACGTAAGGGCTTTCAGAGGCCTGCTGTATTTTTTGCAATAACATTAGGATTATTTTCTATAGTATGTCTGGGTTAAAGATTATTGCTTTGCATCAAATTAAGTACAGGATGGCACAGCTTTAAAATGTATACTAAAATAATGTATCTCTATAAACTATTTTTCAACATCCAGGGAGTTTGTATTTTTAAAACTAAGAGATGGTTTGGGATTTTCTTAGGTCTCTATATCAACACACCTGAGAAAGCCATGTGTGGCTGGACTACAACAGTAAGGCAAATGAACATACATTGTCATGCTTGAAAAACCACTATCAACTGCATTCAATTGCTAAATATTAACTACGGAAGAAACACATGGGTGGAGTCTACAGAGAGATCTTGGTTTGCAGCCAGGACTACCTGTGAATCTCTTCCATGTTCCTCCAAAGCATGAGGATGTGAGTAAAAGATATTGAATGAAGGTGTATGTTGGAACTGATGAATCAAAGCTAGCATATTTTCAATGAGGGGATAAGAAGAAAGCAGTTTCTTCAAGCACATGAAAACAATTTGGACAACTAAGAACAAAAAGATAAGGGCTAACTTGTATGCGGAGCCATAGCTGCTTATTTGCCATCTCCAGACGCCGAGAATGATTTTCGAGATCTCGTGACCTCTGCAAATCTTTCTGCATCCTCCTGATGTAATCAACAGAGGCTTTCAAGATTGTTCCTTTATTCCAGCGCACATCCCTGGAACAAGAGACAGGAGAAGAACATTAAGAATGGCTTCCATACAGTTTTTGGACAATTAAGGTCAGCTATTTTCTGTGTCAGATGTTTCCAGACAAATCGAGGAAGAAGATAACATGGTGCCATGACTTAGCTACATTCTGCAAATCACTTTCTCTCAGGTAAGAACACATTTCTTGTTGTTGTTTAATTGTTAAGTCGTGTCTGACTCTTCATGATCCCATGGACTAAAGCATGCCAGGCCCTCCTGTTTTCCACTGCCTCCTGGAATTTGGTCAAATTCATGTTGGGAGTTCCGATGACATTGTCCAACCATCTCGTCCTCTGTCATCCCCTTCTCCTCTTGCCTTCACACTTTCCCAACATCAGGGTCTTTTCCAGGGAGTCTTCTCTTCTCATAAGATGGCCAAAGTACTGGAGCCTCAGCTTCAGGATCTGTCCTTCCAGTGAGCACTCAGGGTTGATTTCCTTCAAAATGGATAGGTTTGTTCTCCTTGCAGCCCAGGGGACTTTCAAGAGTCTCCTCCAGCACCACCATTCAAAAGCATCAGTTCTTTGGTGGTCAGCCTTCTTTATGGCCCTGCTCTCACTTCCATACATAACTACTGGAAAAACCATAGCTTTGACTATGCGGACCTTTGTTGGCAAGGCCATATCTCTGCTTTTTAAGATGCTGTCTAGGTTTGTCTAGCTTTCCTTCCAAGAAGCAGGCGTCTTTTAATTTTGTGGCTGCTGTCCCCATCTGCAGTGATCATGGAGCCTAAGAAAGGAAAATCTGCCACTGCCTCCATATCTTCCCTTTCTACTTGACAGGAGGTGATGGGGCCAGTTAACACATAGTTAACTTTAAAACATGTGCCTCATACCTAAAGTTCTCCCCCTCCCTTATTGCTTTTAGAGATTCAGTAGCCACTCAAACCCATCACATGGATCTGCCTTCATAATGTACAATCTAACTCTAAAAGTAAAGCTTTACCATACTATTCGCGAAGGCTTTCACGGCCGGGATCTAATGGTTGTTGTGGGTTTTTCGGGCTTCTTGGCCGTGTTCTGAAAGTGGTTCTTCCTAACGTTTTGCCAGTCTCTGTGGCCGGCATCTTCAGAGGACAGCAAACAGTTTGCTGTCCTCTGAAGATTGGCGAAACGTTAGGAAGAACCACTTTCAGAACACGGCCAAGAAGCCCGAAAAACCCACAACAACCATTTACCATACTGTTTTCTGTTGCTCTAATCTTACATTAGTTCAGAATTCCTAAATGTGTAAAATATATGGATCTCAAAGGTGTTCCCATAACCATATATTTTAAATTAATGCAAAATACAAGATTTCTAAAACAAAATACAAGATTTCCAGAAAGCAGCAGCTCTGGTTTTTAACTGGAAAAAAATGTCATAAAACAAAGTTTTATTTAATTTATGCAAATCTTGCACTTAAGTTTAGTATTTTATTAATGCTAATAAAAGTCTGTTGTGCTTACATTTTCAAAGGTAGAGGTTAAAAGACTGTTTTCATAGTATACAATAACCAAATTATCCAGACAACTTTATTCCCATTGCCTTTTTCTCAGCTTGGTTTCCTTTATTGCTCAGACACCACAACACAAAACAATTTCCAGAACTTACAGATCTCCAGCTTTGGGGATCAGCATTCCTAGTTCCTTAATGCGATCATTGATGTTGAACCTTCGTCTTCGTTCAACTATGAGGAAAGAAAAACAGTGGGAAATTTAGTAGAAATTAAAGCATCTCACCTTGATTCACTGGCAATGCAATTCAAGTATCTCAAATCTTCTGCTAACTCCTTGCTGAAGGTTTATTTGGTACACATTTTCTTGGACTGTAGCCTACTTCCATCAGATGCAAATACAGTCCATGAAAGCTAAATAAAACTTGTTGATTTTTAAGATGTCACAAGATTATAGAATCAAAGAATAATGATGTTGGAAGGGGCCTATAAGGCCATTCAATTCAACTTCCTGTTCAATGCAGGAATACAAATCAAAGGCTATCTGCCAGGTAGTTGTCTACATTTCTCTTGAAGGCCTCCAGTGTTGAAGCACTCACCCCATCTCTTGAGGTAATTGGTTCCTCTGTCTTACCGTTCTAACAGTTAGGACATTTTTCCTGATATCCAACCAAAATCTGGCTTCCTGTAACCTGAGCCCATTTGTTGTGTGTCCTGCACTTTGGGATGATCCAAAAAAGATCCTGCCCCTCCTTTGTATGACAGCCTTTCAAGCATTTGAAAAGTGCTATAATATCTTCCCTCAGTCTCCTTTTCTCAAGGCTAAACATGACCAATTCTTTCTCTCTTTCCTCATAAGGCTTGATTTCCAGCCCCTTGATCATCATCATTTTGCCCTCCTCTGAACTTGTTCCAATTTGACAGTGTCCTTTTTGAAGTGCAGTATCCAAAACTGGACACAATACTCAAGATGAGGCCTAATCAGTGCTGAACAGAAGGGAACAAGTGCCTCACAGGATCTGGAGACTATACTTCTATTAATGCAGCAACAATAAAATGGCAGTAAATAAGATCAAAGATTCTTTGTTGCTTTTAATCTAACTGATTACATGGATTCAACACTGCAGCCTAAAACAAAAAAGATACAGTGATGGTTCACAAATAACATAACCATTTAAACACAGCAAAAAAGATTCTCAAAATTCCATATTTGCAAGTACTGTATATGTGATAGGCACATATACAGCTGCTTGTCTGCCTCGGAGGTACACAAAACAGAATAGGTATATGTGTATATACGTATGGCATATGCTAGCACATTTATGCACAGATGTGTGCACCCATACATGGGAGAAGTGACTTTGGTGTAATAGAGAAGCAGACAGAGTGATAAGCAAAGGATGTAAACATTGTGGGATACAAGATTTCACTTTCTGGAGTTCAGTCTGAAGATGAGAACCTATGGGCCAGTCTGCTACCTACTTCCATGAATGCTTTACTTTTATACATTATTTCTAAATAAATCAAATATTACAAAAATACCACAGGTCAATAGGACTCTGTCTTTCAGAGAGAAGCCAACAACAGATAGTGCTGTTCTCAGAACCTCTTACTGCTCACGGAAATGAAAGATGGGCAATGTTATAAAAACAATCATAGCATTGGGCTATGCCATACCAAAAAAAGAGGCAATCTTCAAGTTGACAGGGTGGCTGGCTTTGCATATCTAAGAGCTGCAGCACCAATGGCAGTGGGAGATGATTATCTCTTGTTCTCATTTGTAATTATATTGCAAACATATGTATTTAAAATTAAATATAACAAATGTGGAAATTCAGATTTCTTCCAGACCAGAAAAGAAGAACCCATACTTTAACAGTGCTGGAAATCACAAAAACAAAATCTCTTCTAGGAATAAATCAAGTGATTAAAAGCCTTCTATGATAATATCACTATTTTGTGTAATGGCCAAAGACCAAAAGAGAAAAATGCAAAGCATGAAGGAAAATCATCCCATGCTTGCTTGCTTTCTCTCCTTCCCTCCCTTCCTTTTCTATGCTACCTTTCTCCCATAAAACAACTCAAGGAAGCTCATAGATTTTAAAATACAAGTACGATTAAAAACACAGTAAATTATTCATTGCGAGAGATGCATTAACAAAGCAGTGCTGATAGCTGCCTTATCAGAGTAGTGACTTTTGATGCTGGTGTGAGAAAGCATTCTGTATATTATCATACTGCATCTCCAAAAACAGAGATACTATGATTATTTCCTATCTACAAAGGATAACAGTTAAGAGTTAACAGAAAGCAGAGGAAAGAAGATATTCTAGCCATCACTCACTCAGATTGTGATTGTCCTTCTTCTGTCGTTCCTTAGCCAAAGCACGACTCTCAGCATCTAGAGACAATGACCAAGCTGTCAGGGAAAGCAGTAGGCAAAACAACACACATGTATATATATGTACACACATGCATTTGTTTGAACAGATTCCCCACTGGTCTGAGTCAAAGGCTGACTACAGCCCCAGCAGGACATAACCCATTACGCACACACCCTGTCGAGTTACCTGTGAGCTCTCTCTTCTGTGTGAGATCAGCAGGGCAGGAGTTACTGGTGATGCCCACCAGAGAGGGAGTCATCTGAAGGTCACTGCTATACACATTCATATGGCTGCTGGACAGTGGCAGCTGGGGAAAAAAAGGTGAGATCAAAACAAAACTTTATCTTAGCACAGGATATGGGGAGTGATCAAATGAAAGGCAAAACAACAGAGTACTAGCCCAAATGCCAACTCCTGCACTTGACAGCTATACAATGTTATTTTTTTCCTTCAGTTAAAGAGGGGAAAGGACCAATTTGTTCCCCAAGTGATGTAATTTAGGTCAAAAACTAGGGATTCAAGACATGAAGGACTCTATGGCAGTTAATGCTGCAGCCTGCTAAAGAATGGTGGGTGCAAATTCTGCATTGAAGAAACTTATTCCCTATTCACTCATACCTTCAGCTACATATGGGCCTCTTTCACATGGAGAGATCTTGCAAGATAGCAGAAATGCATAAGTACCAGAGGGACACTGGCAGAGCCAACTGTATAGGTTCCTTAAACCAAGCTGATGCCTTTCCCCCCCAGCCATGAAGGATCCATGGTGCATAATGCCCAACTTGTGTGGCTCTAGTATTGAGATGCAAAAGAACAAAAGTAGTTTAGGGCCATGTGTAATGGAGGAGCTTTGGCATCTCTTAGAAATGTATGTGTGAATTCCTTAATTCCTTTTCACGCCTGACAAATGGTGAAGTAGAGCCAGGCAAACCCCCTGGTTCACCATGGAGCTGGCAGTGCTAAAACGAGTGGGACAGAGGTTAGAGCGACAATGGTGGAAAACTGTGAATCCGACTGAACACGGGCTAAAGCCCATTTGAAGGGCAGTGGTTGCCCTTCAAATCTGCACAAAGTTGTCCAGAGGAGTTGTTTTGAGTGGTCAGGGACTTAGTACTTGCCCCACAAAAAGAACAAAATATTGATCACTCCACTTTGCAGATAAAGTCGCTCAGGTTCACTCACCAGATAGTTCTGCTGGACCTCTCAGTGGCTTTCAACCATGGTATCCTTCTGAGCCGTCTCTCTGGGATGGGACTTGGAGGCACTGTTTTACAGTGGCTCCAGTCCTTCCTGGAAGGGAGAACTCAGAAGGTGGTGCTGGATGACTCCTGCTCAACGCCCTGGCCATTGGTCTGTGGCAATCCTTAGGGTTTTCCCTTGTCACTCATGCTTTTTAACATCTACATATCCTTAGGGTTTTCCTTTGTCACTCATGCTTTTTAACATCTACATGAAACCGCTGGGAAAGGTTGTCCTGTGTTTCGGGCTTCGGTGTATCTAGATATATTTGTAGAGTGCACTCCACCTTATTTGGGTTTTTTCCCCTAAGGGAGTCTGAATAAGTTTTCAGTTAAAAGCTTTATCCCTTTTAGTCACAAGATTATGGTTTTATGGCTCTTCTGCCCCTCTCTATCTGACAGCAAGAGGCAAAAAGCAAAAACACTCACAGTATTGGGCATATGAATGTCTGTGTTAACACATCCCACAGTAGTTGTCAGCTGCATGATGTCTTCGATTACGTCATCTATCTGAAAATATATTTTCACAGAGATAGCTGCATTAGTTGTCCACAACAACAAGCAAAAAGTTGCATGACATCTTAAATTCTAATCAATTTAGTACAACATAAGCTTTTATGGAGTTCAGTCTGCTAGCCTTTCAAAAACAGGAATGATTTCTTCAATCCACTCAATAATACTGACATTTTTAATAATGCAATCATGCACACAAGAATCAAAAACACAAATCACATGTGTAAGAAAGTTGTCCGTAATGTGACTCTCTACAGCATCTTCCACCAAAAAATAACTGAGATTAAACTTTCCCTGCAGCCACTGTGTATTTATCATTTCCCACACAGCAGTGAAAAAAACCTGACTTTCATTTTGTCCCTTCTCTTAAAACTCTCTGCAGCCACTGGAGGATTATGTGGCCCCGCTGTAGTCAGAACTTTCAGCATTTCATATTAAAGGAGGAGTGCATGCTTAAGTTCTTCCTCATGTCACTTCATTTAAAACTCTACCAACCTACTCAACACAAGTTTATCCTATCATTCTCCACAATTATCTCATTTGCTTTATCCCTTATCTGCTACAGAGCACTCAAATGGAATTCAGAACAAGCCAGGATGATCATATGAATGCACCATTCAGGTAGCTCAGCTGTTAAGCAACCATACGAGAAGAGAACTGCTTCCTAGAATAGAAGAGAACTTCCCCACAACAGTCATTTGTGCTTCCTGCTATAATAATCACGTGCTCTTTAAGTAAATTCTTGTTTGTTTGTTTGTTTGTTTGTTTGCCACCTTTCTCCTGAAGGATCAAAGTCGGCTTAAAAGTATTTAAAAGGAACTAAGTTATAATCATGTGCTCTTTAAGTAAATTCTTATTTGTTTGTTTGTTTGTTTGCCACTTTTCTCCTGAAGGATCAAAGTTGGCTTAAAAGTATTTAAAAGGAACTAAGTTTAAAGCCAAATAATAAATTATTAAAATATTTAAAAAGCTTTAAACAACTATCATATTAAAACTCATAAAAACAACAATCTTGACTGATTGAGTTTTCTAGGTAGAGAATACACAGAAGTGGTTAACCATTCCCTTCCTGGGATTTTGTAGCTTGTCCTGATTACACAGGCTGGCTCTTTTCATGGGAGGCACAGTAAGGAATTAAACTTACAATCTCTGGCTCTGCAGCCAGATACCTAAGCCACTGAGCTATCTAGCCAACTGGGTCAACATACCATAAAAAATATCTTCCACTACGCTATACAACAAATCCTAAAAATATAACTTACACACCTCTCTTTCTGGGTTAGATCCAATATTGAGCATTGCCATTGGGCTGTTAGGGGTACTGTTGCCTGCAGAAGAGGACATCACATGACTTGGCGTTGGCCTCATACCAGGTGAAGGGGGAGGTTTGGGAGAAGGGGCACTGAGCAGTGGTGCAAACTTGTTCCCATAGGTTTCAGACAGGAATTCTTGGACCTTCTTGTCTCGGGATCGTTGCAAGTGGTATGTGGTAGGGTTCTCCAGGAAGGACTGAACCTAAAAACAACCATAATTAAGTTAGAAGACTAGAGACAGAGGAGCTACTATATAAAAGATAGAAATAATTTAAAACTATATATGTTTTCAGATATAAATGCCTTCCTTTTCCATAGCATATTGACTTTTCAAACCTGTGGTTTATCTCCTTAATCCTCACTCTTAATGGTAATCATGCTTAAAACATGCATATATGGAATCCATCCCACCATTTTCTCCATTATTTTAGCCTCAAACTATATGTTACTCTAATGGTAATCATGTTCAAAACATGCATGTATGGAATCCACCCCACCATTTTCTCCTACCTCTGTTTAGTTCTTCATTATTTTAGCCTCAAACTATATGTTACTGAAAGCCCATCATTAGAGCTTAAAATCCATTAGTGGTCCAAAAATATGATGCAGGTAGACTTTCGTGACAGAGCTCTCATACTTGCAAGCAAAGCCTGTGCTTACCTCTTGGTGACAAATCACAAACCAAAGCAAGCTAATTTACAAACTGGGAAGTGTAAAAAGCTTCTACTGTGACAATTAGACATTTTTTGGCATTTGAGGAATTCTCTTGTCTAACTATGGGGCTATCTGTATTATTTGTCTGGCCTCCAGACACTGGTTTTTGAAAGTAAGGGCCGATATTGCCTTTATAAAGAGCTATGTACATTGAAGGTCCTGTATAAATATTAGTGACAAGAATTTGCAGGTAAAATTTATCTTTAGCAGTTTACAGGTTCATAATACATTTCAAGGTGGGCTGAATATTTGCTGTTTACAGGAACCATTAGAGATCTTTTGTACAGCTAAGTTTTTACTATTTTAGGAGGATAGTAGTCATAGCTTTAAACGGAAGGCAGTCAAAAGTTTTTTTGTTTTTCTCTGTTTCTCAGCCCTTAACCTATATCCAGTGTTGCTATGAATAGTGGCACAGCTGCTTTGAACAAATTCCAAATGTAAAAAATTATTCCTGGGAATAACACACTATTAAGGTAGAGTTGTTTTCAGTAACTTCTATTCGAGGAACACAGGTAGACTGTTGAGAGGATATGTCATTTATTGGAACAGTACCTTTAAGACTTCTCCCGGCACAGGGGGTGGGGACTGGTAATGAACTGGTGTGTTGATGGCAGGGGTTGAAGCCATTGGCACCTGCTGTTGCATGTAATGCATTATTGCCTGCTGCTGCATACGCTCCCTTTGTTCCTCTTGCTGCACTTGTTCTCGCATTAGCTGCATTCGTAAACCAATGCGTGATGCCATGGTCACTATTTTGGATCTGTCCAAACTTCCTAAGCGACACTTAAAATCCTAGAGAAGAAAGTGGATGGATTTAGGCACAACAATTCAAAATTCATCTGCAGTCTTTAGCGCTATTGCAGAAATATTAAAATGGACTACAAATCATACATGACAGTATACAAAAATTTAAAGTTATCTTGCAATTTTTTATAATTGATACAATAGCAACAATCATTCAACTATACCATGCTGATTGGGGACTGACCTTTCAGGACAGGGAACCTGTGACTGTCTATATGTTGTTGGACTGTAATTCCAAGCATTGCTGATTACAGTCCATACTGACTAAAGCTGATGGAAATGAGAGTTTCCATCCGATAGCTGGAGGACCATGGATTCCCAACCCTTGCAGGTGATGCTCTTGAACTACTCTGTTTTAAGATATTTTCTTTCATAGTTCAAGTGCAAATTATCAGAACCAAATATATGAATGGTTTCCAAACATCACATTTGCCACCAGTTAAGAAAATAAAGATAAACATTTAAAGTAATAAATTGCTCTGTCAAATCAGATTTTTTTTGCTGCAGCAGCCAGATCAAGTATCTGACTGGCTCATTATAGAAAACTTTGCAAAATATGAGGTACAAGCCAACTATAGTTAGAAATTGTAATCTTAAAGAATAATAAACTCCTTTACTGAATTTAACAACATTTATGAATTTATTTGAATGAATGTTAATATTCAGTATTTTCATTTCTATAATGGCAAGGAAAACTCTACTTTTTAACTTTACAAAAGAACAAAGAAAGAAAAAGAAATATCTGAAGAGGTGGATTTTGAAATAAATCTGAAATAAATCTGTTAGCATTTAAGGTGACGAAATATTTTGCTTTCTTCTCTTCCCTTTTCATCTTTAATTTTGCCAACCTGATGACACAGTCTAACACAATTACCTTCTTGGAAATTTTAACTTATCTGTCATTCTGACTCAACATTAAAAAACAAACAGCTAACAAAATGGTATTAGTGACCCTAGTACAAACCTCCTCCATCATGACTGAGAAAAAAAGAGTTTAAAGTCAAAGTGAGTTAATAATCCCCTTTCCTTCTACATTAAACTTTGCCCTACAGCAACCCAGGGAACGAAAACCCACTGCCCTTTTTCTGTTTTCTTATCTTCTCCAGTCAGGTGATACAAAAAGTATATTAATCTTTGCTGAATGGAGGCAGAGGTGATCCTGCATCCCTAGCCTCACATCATGTGACATGAGTAGAATTTATCTCACCTCCCCCCAGAAATGGGGGAAGTGAGATAAGATCAAAATTAGGATTTTTTTCAGAGATAAAACTAATTGGATCCCAACTGGCTTGTTGAAATCTTTTGCCAGAGAATGAACTGATTCATTGATAAACACATTTTGAAACAACAACAACAACAACACAGCTTTGTTTAGTCAGGGGTTTTTAAATAACTGATTTTAATTCATTGATAAACTCATTTTGAAACAACAACAACAACAACAACAACACAGCTTTGATTAGTCAGGGGTTTTTAAATAACTGATTTTTTTATTTAATACCAGAACTTCAGGAAACTTGGTTGCAAATACAGTAGTAACCATGATGTGAAGAGAGACAGGCCTTTTCTAAGACAATGCATACTTCCACAGATGCACACATTATCTAAAAAAAATGTTGCTTCTTTCTTTAAAACACAAATTAATATTTTTTCAACAACATCATAATTAATTTTAAACTTCATGCTCATTGAAATCAAACAAAAACTTATAGAATTAATATGTTGCAAGTAATGTTACATGAAACAAATTGTTATTTGTGGCATACTTCAGGCTTGCAGAATCTAATCTGGGTATTTGCTTGCTTGCCTCTATTTATTAGGATTCGGAGATCTGAAAACAGTTCCTGGTGCAAAAGACATGACATAATAATTCTTCTAATGTTCATCCATACTCTGTTTTCCTGTACCACAAGCCAATTACGATAATCTAACCAGAGAACAAGTTTTTCCCTCTTCTATGTAACTGTCCTAAACGTATTTGAAGAATGCTATCATTTCATCCTTCCATTTTCTATTATACTAGCTAAACTTCAATTGTCCCTTATAGGTGATGTTTTCTACATCACTGACCATATCTGATGCCCTCCTCTGAACTTTAAAACTTCCTGAGCGGTTCAGCAGGGAAGGAACTACAGTACCTCAGAAGGTTGTGGGCTTGACTTTGTTGAATAATTTTAAGCAGTCATTGGATGCTTGCTTATACTGTATATCACACATGCTTTATTTGTGGATTCCCGCATGGTTTATTTGGCTGTGGTCCCCAGATGTTCTTGGACTTCAGCTCCCAGAAATCCTGGCCAGCACAGTAAGTGGTGAAGGCTTCTAGGAATTGCAGTCCAAGAACATCTGGGGACCTCAGGTTTGAGAATCACTGGACTAGATGACCTCTTGGGATCTCTTCCAATTTTACAGTCCCATGATTCCTAATGCACAATAACCAGAACTGCATAACAGTACTTCAAGTGTGATCAAAGAAGAATCAAGCTGAGCCACAACTTCTTGTAACTGATGTTTTTTGTAACTGATGTTTTTGATGTTTTTGTTCTATTGATGCAGTCTTAATGAAGCTGAGCCACAACTTCTTGTAACTTTGATGTTTTTGTTCTATTGATGCAGTCTAGAATCACACATCCCTTTTTGCAGCCACGTCTCAGGGCTCCCTCATGTTCAGCTTGCAATCAATTGCTACTAGAAGATTCTTTTTATTTGTAGTATTCTCAAGACAGATTATCCTCATTCTGTTTACTTGATTCTACCTCTCCTTCCATTACAGAACACAGCATTTGTCTCTGTTGATTTTTGTTGTTAAGGAATCATCTTGAGTTTTCCCATTCTCATGGTCTGCCTTCTGAGGTATGCATTTATTTATTGGATTATATATTGCCTTTCTCCAAAAAGATGTGACTAAAGAGAGCCAAAAGTAAGATTAAAGAATTCTAAATAAAAGAATACAGTTAAAAGACAAAGCAATATATTAAGCCAGAATTAAATTTAAGGCACTTTTAAAAACAGTTAAAATGCAATTTAAAAACATATCACTAGGAAAAGCACTCATCTGGAAAGTGGAGTTGTATTCATGCCCTGATGGTTAGGTTCCTATATGCAATCAGTTAGTTATTTTGTGAACAGAATGGTCGATTAGACAGACCTTGGATCTAGGTGCACAGTTACATGACAAGCCCTGCTGTCAGCAGCTGATGAACAGGCTAAAGCCTACCTTTAAAAAAAGTGTGTTAATTCTCCTTCCCAATTTTGTGTAACCATAAAATGTGATAACCATATCTTCAATCCCCTCATCTAAATTGTTGATTAAAACAGAATACCTAGCCCAAAGCCAACACTGACTTTTCTAGTGCCCATTTCAAAGCACCCTATTTGTTTGGTAAGGAGCCGTCCAACTGCAGTTTTCTAATCAGTTGTTAATTTAATAATCTAGCCCAGTGGTTCTTAACCTTGGGTTACTCAGGTGTTTTTGGACTGCAACTCCCAGAAGCCTTCACCACCAGCTGTGCTGGCTGGGGTTTCTGGGAGTTGCAGTTAAAAAACACCTGAGTAACCCAAGGTTAAGAACCACTGATCTAGCCTCACATTTAATGAGCTTGCTGACCGAAGTATCATGGAGAATTTTGTCAGATACTTTGCTCAAAAAAGAGGTAATTTATGTTTGCAACATACCCACTATCCACTGAGCTAATAAACTGAATGAAAAATTTAGTTTGTGCTCAATCAGATGAGCATTTTGTCCTGATGTTTTGTTCACTGTGGGGATGGAGTTGGTTTGCTCTTTTTTCTGGTGATCAGATAACACAATTGCTAGAGTGAACCAATCTGTCCCCAGAGCAACTCTACCTGCACCCTTCTGAGCCTTTGTCAGGAACTTCTACTATTTTTAGTTTTATTAGGTTTGTTCTATTTTGGTATGTTTCCATTGCATGCAATTCCACTGTCTAATGAGAGACGTTCAAGCCATTTTGCAGGACATGCTCAGCGCTTACAAGAATGAATCCAGCTGCTTATTCAGATGCCTAAATATTTATACAGGAGGTTATTCCCTTCTGGTTTTTTTTGTTTTTGTTTTTTGTCACCACCACCTTTTACTAGCTGCCTTCTTCACTCAGAACGTGTAGAACTTAAAAGCTATATCTGGGCATAAATAAAGCTATTGTATTCCTTCGTGCTGTCATAACACATGCAGTACATAGCAACAGGTACACCAGAGAACCAGCAACTTAAGCAGAGTGTTCAACGTAATCACTCTAGCTCAGAAACCAATACACAGAGATGAGTTCTATGACATAGGGAAATCTTTTCACAATTCTTTTTATATAGTGTTGTTTGTGATTTAATTAGACTCTTCACGGTTCAATACAAGATTCTGTGTACAATCCCACATCTCATAATGATTATGAAGAATTAATCAAACACGATCTGTTTGAAGATAAGTATTATATGTAAAACATTAATTTCCTTTCAATTTATATTTGAATTTGAGATGTAGGAGAGTAGCAGTATTACAGCACCTTTATACAAATTTATAGTGCAATCATCATTACTCAGTAGGTATGCACATGCATTGTTCTTGATTTCTTTGTACTCAAAATCCTAGAATTTTTTGTTCTAGAAGTCTCAACTGTCAGACAGACACCTCAATTGTGCCCACCCGGAGAAGGGTTTGGCTGGAAGCCCTTGTGTGCATTTAAATACAGAATGACTTACAAATCTCGTTGGTATGAAATACTGTAAACCTAAACATGCAAATCTAAGGGTTTGTATATGTGTGTTGCATTATTAAAAGACTTCCCAATTCTTGTTTCTTTAGTGTCCTAAAGCCAGCTTGGAAATAAATCCGTAAATTATATGGATCAAAAGTGACAGAATGTTGTGACGAAAAGGAATTCATTCTCTATAATTCACGGAACTGATTTTTAAGAATGGAGGAAATACTCAGGGTGGGGTGGGGTCATCTGCTTCATCTTATCATTTCTACA